ATTGGGCCATCTAAATGGGTTACATCATTGGGCCAAAGTGTTAAGCATATTGTTTAACATTTTGGTATGAACAAAATTGGACAGAACAATTAACTAGTTTTTTACTTATTTTTTTAATAATATTGTATAGTACTATCCAATCCGTTGATTAGATATGCCATATAAGTCTCGATTCAAGATGTCAAAACATCTCCATTCTTTGCTGAGAGCCTTTTCAAGAACTCATATGTAGTGTTCATTGTAGTTGTAGACATGGACATTGAAGCCCTCCTTGATCCTAAACCTCTATAACAAGCCACCAACCCACCCACCTTCCTTTACCAAATTCCTCACAGTTAGCCCAAAACTCGGCCCCTTCCGCCCATTCTCATCCCCATTGAAAACCTTTAATCTCGTCTTGATCGTATCCAGAGGCATTGTTATCAAAGCCGAAAGTCCACCAGCCATTGCTGCACTTGCTCCCTGCACTACCATCACGGTTTTCGCATTAATTCATTTTTCTCCACATTGACCCCCTCTTCGTCCCTTTCGTCATCTTTCTGGCAAAGAGAACACCTCATTCCACTCCAAACAAGCCTCTGAGCTACAGAATAGGAAGCCCACCAAACTGCATTTGATGGTGCACAAATCAAAATTGCTATCCCAAATCCTCTGTACAGCCCTCTTATCCCATCTGTATTCAGAATTTTCTTGAAAGAATCAATCCCGTTCATATATTTACACGAAAATGCATTCGAGACCTTCTGATTACCACCGCCTTGTACCATGAGCCGCTAACTAACTACATCAACTGGGGTCCAAACTATATGCTCAGCCATTGCAGCGGTCAACCCGGCGGCAACATATCCTATCGCGACTGCAGACGGCTCGGGAATTCCATACCTAGTGGCAGTCATCCACACAATACTTTTTTGGTAACCTCAAGTGAAGCCATATATAATGAATGCTCTGGCTGGGATTGTGCCTGTTAATGAAGTCCCAAATCCTCTATACAATCCACGAAAACCTTCATATTTCAAAGTTTAACAGGGCTCACAAATTTTACCAATTTATCAAATCACACATTTGATCAATTTTTATTATTAATAAATAAAGAACTGAAATGCTTAAACATGGCTCTGGTCCTATTTGCCAAATCAATATCATTAGCGGAATATTCACACCATATTTTAATTGCAATTAACATTCTCAATCTGACTCATTTTCGCACTTACAGTTTTTAACTTTTTTGTGTCACATTCTTATGATCCCCAACTTTCCTGTTAACACATTGTTACTGAATATGGTTTTATCAAAAAATCGTTAAGAGAGCGCAAAAAATTTATTTACCTCTCGTATTTCTAAATAAGGGAAATAAATAACAAATACAAAAGTTTGATCACCAGGAAGCCAACCTCACTTCTCCTACCTAAATGAAAGTTTTGTAAAACAATAACTGAGGTTTAGGGCTTTAATTGGAGGCTGAGCTAAGGGCTATCTTGGATGGGATTTCACTTGCTCGATGACTCAGTTTATCAAATATTTGCTCGATGGGAAATTCAAATAAGGGTTGTGCTACTTGTACATAATGTACAAGTAGAATTATCCTTCAAATAATTCTCAGATGGATTAGGCATCTTTTCTCAGTTGACCCAAGATATTATTTCCCACACTTGTCTTGAGGGGAATCAGGTTGTCGATTCACTCGCATCCGAGGGCTGGAACCAGGTCAAGTTTAGACTAGACCACTTGACCTACCACGATTGTGCGTATTGACGGATATGAACTTCCTACCATTAGAGGAAGTTAATTGTTCGCAATTACTAATTTTGTATAGAAAGTACTTCCCCTATTTTTCATTTCCTTCATTTGTTGTACTTCTTCGCCTTTGGAATGTCAGGTTTATGCTCCATTCTTGTTGTTCTCACTTCTCATGAGTTTGATTTTATATAGACGGTTCGGAAATCTGAATCCCCATTAGCCTTCCATTGCGGTCTTGAGAATCAATTGAGGCTGTACTGGTTATTTGTGTTTAAAAAAATTAAAATTATGTGCTCATAGCTCATATTTAATATTCGATTACAAAATGTTTAATTGAGAGATTTCAAGAATCTTATAATGTTTTGCGTATATTTTAAAATATTTATAAATTATTAGGTAAATATGATTTTTCTCAGTACGATCTTTGTTAATCAAAAGAGACATAACCCGACAATAATGCAAAAGATTTGAATACTTCTTTCGTCTACAAATCTCAATACCTATTTTTCATTCGGGTAATATTGGTTTCAAATTTGATTAGCCAATAACAAAACTAAATGAATGCCTAAATGTGGACATTTTATTTGTTATAAACCGGAAAATGAAAAAATTATTCAAAGTATCTCAAATTGTAGAAATGCAAGATAAATAGTAAGAGCCTTCAAAATCTCAATACTTTGTTACGTCAGTGGTAAGAATTGATAAATAGTCGAAATGCTTTTTGTTCCTCAAACTTATCTGATTTTATCCGATCCACGATATCAAACATGTCATGAAGAATTAGAGATAATTAGAGGAATAATATAGTACAATAATGACAACACACGTGTATGGAATCGACATAATTCTTGCTTGCTTTAGAATGAAAATTATTTTTACAAATGTTTCATCGACAAAGTCAGAATCAAGACACCTAGCGACTCCAAATGCATTCGAGCCCACATAATCCCTTTGTATCCGTGCTAGAACACAGTCGAACGAGGATACACACAGTTTTTTTGCTCAAAGAGATAGCCCAGACTCTTCATCCTCTTCAAGACCAGAAGTGTAGATGAAGTAGAAACCCCAAATCAAACCAAAGACACCAAAAAGGATCCAACCAAGAAGATTGTTGCTTAAACCAAAGGGTAGCCCAGTTCCTTCAGTGCTCAATCTTTCATCTACCAGAGCCATGGCTGGGCTGGACATGGCTGCAGCACAAGTGG